TAAAATGTTTTCCAATATATATTGCTCACATATATGTTATACAATCCATCCTGGCTACCAAGTCTAATGATTGATCAAATCAGTTTATGATTTTCAATATTAAGAAAAAATATGGTCAATACTAATTCATGGGTGCATAATGTTTGTAATACAATCTATTGTCAATATAAAGTTAACTGATTTTATATAAGAGTATATGATGTTCAACAACAAAAAAAGAAAATGACGTGGCTTTCTTAGTAATATACATCTCTGTTTCTCACAGTTTATGTAATACAATGATCATAAATATTTGATTTCGATGCAATACATGGTATGCCTTTGAAAGAAAACATTTGCACTTTTGGATTATATAGATATACATTTTCGAAAGTTTATACAAAAATACCAAAAGTAAAATAACAAAAATACCGAACTCCATGGAAAATTCAGAACGGAAAGTTCCTTATGAAATGGCAAAATCAAAAGCTTAAACTCATCAAACGAATGGAAAACAACAGTCATATTCCTGTCCTGGTACAGGCATTTCTTTATGTAGAAAATGGTGTATTTAACCTGGTTTTATAGCTAGCAAAACCTCTGCCAGTCGCATAAAATTCCAATATAACTCACATGTATGTAAGACAATCCATCAGGTATTTTCAAGTCTACTTTATTCAAATTTCGGTACAAGAATTTCAATGATACGACATTGGCACTAAACTAATGTTACAAATACTCACATAATGTTGGTAATCGTACTAGTTCAGGCTGGAATATTTAGATCTAACACAAAGTTTTTATCTGAAACGTGTGGCTAATATTAGCTCTTCGACCGATACAAAATAGGAGCATCTTTTTGTAAATGGAACTAGACGACATTCGAACATCTGATTTTTAATATTTGTTTATGTTGATACAATCATACCTACAATTTAACGGAGCAAGAAAATAAAAAATGTGGTATGATTGTAAATTAGACAGCTTCATGTAACCAACAAAAACATTTTAAATGACAAGAAAGTGTTAAAGTAGAATAATTTAGAATCAAAACGAATGACATAAATGTGATTAATTAATAAAGAGTGTGTAGTTGCCAAACATAATGGTATAATGGTTTTCCCCTTAAAAACAGGTCAACTTTGCTTTAGAAGGCATAAAATTAAAAGCGGAAAGCTTCAAGCTGATGATGACCAACCAAAACAAATGGGAGGATGTTGAAGACGTCAAGACTGTGTATACTAAAGCCTTTGGAGTTCCAGAGGTAAATACTTACAGTGTTAATCGTTACTTACCTAGTTGTCATCATCATTGATTTAGATAATACAACATTTGCAAACAAAATTTCAAAAGTTAATGATAAGATCTTTGATAGCAGTTAATGAACTAGTTAAACGCACATGAATATTTGATGTGAAAGATTTGCTAGAGGCCGAGATGAAACGATAATTTACGGGTTAGTTAAGGTGATTAATACATTGTATGGATCTTCCGATATTAAAAGCATATCGGACTCTGTGGTGTGCTAATGCTATGATTGTTTGATATGTGACTCTCTGTGGAAAGCACGGATCTGAATGTAGAAGAATTTATAATTTCGATCACTCTACTTTGTTGAAGAATATTACTTCTTCTTTTGTATGACTGTACTTCCTAACAATTAGTATAATAAATTAGTAGGCAGTTAACCTGTATGATACGAATCATTCTTACTAAATTCAGTTTACATTGATGCAATTGGACAGCATTGAAATTGTTAATATCAGAAGCAATTTTGACCTTGTAAAGAATAGGATTTTAAAGTGCATTTCAATTTGACACTCATGAACATTCATGTATTACAATGATTAAAAGGACGTTAAGAGATTATTCTAGAGACAAATGTCATGCTCACTTAACGGAGCATGACATATGTCTCATGGCGTTGTCAGTTTCTTTTCGATCTATGAGTTTGACTGTCCCTCTGGTATCTTTCGTCCCTCTTTTTATTTTCATTATTAATTTCCGGATGATATATTTATCTGCTTTATTTGTTTGAAATTTTTAGAATAGTTTATTATTTTATTCGTATTTAGTCAGTTATTTACACAGATCGAGTCATATCATTTTTGCAGTGGTCGCCAAGAATGTGTAATGGATTTTATCAAATAACATCACTTCTACCTGAGAAACCATAATGATTGTCAATTGTGTTAAGATAGTACACAAATACTTAAAAAAGGCGTATTGGATATATATTATACAGAATAGTCACATAAAAGATAAAAAAACAAAAACGAACAAAACAAAGTTCATTATACATGTTTTTTTTTTATTTCTGTAACCTTTATACACAGAGTTCAGAATACTTCAACGACGATGCTCAGTTTGGACGTCAGAGACTCAGTAGTTTAAATTCGTTATTAATAGAACTGTGCACTACGATTCCACAAAAGTAAGTGTCATCTGTCAATATTTAGAATCAGGTGTTACATGTAAATGACGACGAAGTAATTGATCTGAAAAATTGAATTTTAATTTTTCTTTTAATTTATTAATTGAGTAAAATGACAGTCCACAAACATCGTTTAAAATATCATGACACACTTCGACAGAAACACCCTAATTCATTGGCTCCTTCTTTGTGAAAGCTGAATTATATTACGTAACCCGGTTTAAAGAAACTATTGATCGCAAATATTTGTGTCAAAAACATCAGCTGAAATACGAAAACATTCATAGTTCATCAAATTAACATTTATATTTAAATATGACGACATTAGAAAGGTAAACAAAGAAACATGTTATTCCGGTAATGTTTGTATCGTAATGAAGAATCATTTTTATAAAAAAATCTAATATAAGATAGTTATGCAGCTTATCGTACATTTCGTTTAAACAAATATTTTTGTATTAATTTAAACGAAGTGTACGATAAGCTATATATATTGCGTGAATATTTAAAATATGACAGCTATCTATATAACAACCATTAGCGTATTTAAGTTACATTCGTAGGCATGTATGTACATATCGTTCACATTTTTTTTAAATTTTTGTAGAATTTTATATTTTGTGATCAATAATATCAAATTATTTTATAATCGAAATTTGGTAAAAAATTAACAGTTAATGAATTTCACATTCTGTTTACTTACCAAGAATATTCCTTTTTTCAGTAGACCTCAAACAGATAAAAATGTTACGTTAATGTTGTATAAATTTGGAATAATAGTTTTATTTTATATTTTCCATGTCGTAGTTTTGGAGTGACTGAAGATATGATCAAGCCATTCCTAGAAGGCAAGACAATGAAACAAGTAATGGACGGTAAAAAACTGTTTATCATAAACCTGTCAATATTAGAAGACTGTCCAACTAAGCGCGAAGACCTTGTAGTAAGTATAAAGTTTAACTCATAAAAAATGCAAGGCTTTTAATTTGCAACGACAGCCTACACGAAGCATATATGAGGCGCTTGAACAACAATGCATTCTTATGGATATCAATTCTAAATAAAGTTTTATTATATTAATTTAGCATGCAGTTAGATTCTATATAAAATCGGTTTTGGAATGGAGATATTTGTTTTTTGCAACAACATAATCAAACTTGGAAATTATTTTGTTGTGTAATTTGTATTATCGTTAAACCCACAATAGATACAGTGTCTTTTTATTTTCGTCACCCGAATTGAAGTTTTTCATTACCATGTACACGTGTATTCAATATATCTTAGTTTATGTATTATACTGACACAAAAATAATTTTTTAATTGGATTTCGACAAAACAAGGTACCTGACGTGTGTTCTTTAAATGTTCGATAAATATGGGATTCGAATTCCATTATTTGTAAATATCAAATATTGAACAACATACATTGTATGCTTGATTTTGGCCGCAAAAACACGAAATAATATATCCAAAAAACTACATTTTTTTCTGAATGCACAAAAATTGGAATCCTCGCAAATTAAATAATTCTACACTATTATGTTTTTGCAATGAAATAAATAAACCGATTTTCATTTTTCAGGACATTATTTTGAAGAAACACTTAAGGAAAAAAAATAAGATTCTTTATTTGCTAAAAACAAAAACCTATAAATTATCATTAATGACTGGTAAATATCATGACACCAATTCAAATGATTTTTGTAACGGCAGCCTTCATACAGTGTTTCCATCTATAATCAACGCCCCTTTAATCGCTCCTTGAAACGTAGTAATCACATTACAAAAAAATCGAGTTTTCGTTATGTGCTTAATTTCATAAAGTTTGTATTTACAAATTAGATTATTTCTAAAAGTCACATTTGACTTTTGCAATTTATTCTTGCTGGTATTGGGAATGAAACTCACTCTTTGAAGTATATTGTGTGTGACTGATATCAAATATTGACAAAACCTATAGGTCACTAATTGGTTGAAATTAAAAGTTCTGTTTCATAACTATTATATTTATTTATATACTCATCTTGGTTTATGTAAGGAATGTATTTTGAAATACGGGGAAATATTTGTTTATATTTCATTTTCTGAATTAAGTGTGTTTTCCAATTTACCTCGGTAGCTAAAATCTTTGTCATCTGACTTTAATTAAAAAATAATAACCGCCGGTTTAAATGAAATACAGGGCATGTGCCTCAATATTTTAAAAAGGAAGGAAGTTAGTATATTGTAAATATAGATAAAATAGCTTTCCGATGTTCAATTCTCATAAATCGATTACGAAGATACAAATCAAGGTACCCCCTTCCCCCCAAAAAAAAAAATATTTCCCAAATCAAACCAAACAAACAAACTTAGGGATTCTTCATATCGATACTACCAACAAAATGACACACATTTCTGATCAAAGAGAACGCACAGTTAGCTAAAACTTAGTCAAAGGATTATATTATGGATCGACAAACGCATGGCCAAAACAGGCAAAATGATGAACAATATAAAAAAAACTGCATAAGAATTACATTTTGAGTAAAACGAACCCCAAAACGAATCACACTATTACAAATTTATTATATTCTAATACTTGCAGATGACTTGTCCTTTGATTCTGTTCTATTTCAACGATTCCAAACATCTGATGCCAATAGCTATACAGTTATTTCAACAGAAAGGACCGCGTAACCCGGTAAGTGATGGAGACCCCTTTTTGTGATACAGTTATGTCATATTATTCTCTAGTATAGTAATGCAGATAACACAGAAATTAAAAGCAAGGCAGATTTGGTTTCTAGTAGAATTAATTGGGGTATTTACAGATCATCTTCTGATTTGGTAAGGCATTTGCAAGCAAAATGTGCAGAGGGAGGGATTAACAGGTTAAAAGGTAGGCATTATAACATTGAATTCTACATCAGTGGTAATAAAACATTTTAAGTATAGTATATGTTATTGTAAAAATACATATTACAAACTGAAATTAAAAAGTACTTTTTACTATACACGTTAAAAATGATTCTCTTTTTCTGAATACTAAAACAAAATCTCTGAAAGGACGTAATCAAGCGTTTTACTTATTCATGTTAATTCCATTATAATATGCAGGTCGGTTTCAAATAAATTCAGCTGCTTGTCATAGAACAAACTTTAAAAATTTTGCAGAAAAATATCTTGTTATCCTGAATCTTAAAAAAAAACCGCTGAAATATAAATCGATTTTAGGACATCACAATGGTTCTCCCTTTCTAGATCTGAAAAATAATCTATTGTTGATTCAATATTATTCGTGGTATACCAGTTTTCGTGGATTTCGTGATTCAACGAATTCAAATATTCAGCGAACTACAAATTTACTATAAGAAACTACATTTTTTTTCAATCCGCGACAATTAGTATCCACTAAAATAAATGAATCCACAGTATCATGAGTATTTAAGGACGCTATGAAGCACAATTATAGGCCACTTCATAATAATGTGCAAACAGGCTGGTTTCAAATACATTTAATTGATTTTCAAATAATTCAACGTCACACTACCACATATCTAATTTTCACTTTTATTTTTTTCTCTTTTTTTTTTCTCATATAGTATTTATATGAATTTAATGTTAATATACCGCCTAAAGGTTTTAATATTGATATTTTTAAAGTGTTTTCTGTGTCAAGATTTTTTGTATAAATTTCTCATCTTACTATTATAACAGGTTTTCTTACCATCAGATCCAAAGTACACCTGGATGTTGGCAAAGATGTGGTATAGTCTTGCTGATTCTACATATCACCAATCTCTTACTCATCTAAGTATAAATAATAAACATTAGAAAAATCTATTATTACAATATCTTCTACTAGGTAAGTCATTTCATTTATGGATTTATAGGTATATAAAAAAAAAAAGATTTTCCAACTTAAATTTGAATATTCTATTATTGCTTTTTCGTGCCTGTTAAAGTTTCCCCTTTAGAAATTAAATGTGTAATTTGCTTCATTCGAATGAAATGTTGTAAAAATGTCATTGTTACAGTTTTACTGTCCTGCTCTGTGTATTACCAAGTACTTAAAAGGGTTGGATGAATTTCTTTTCGTGTAATATATTTTTGTAATTTAACATGCAAATAATTTTTTTTTCAAATTGCATGGTTATGAATCCAGCGTACGTTTAGTGATTTTCTTATATTTTAAATCCTTTTATATTTTAAAATATATCAAAGTTGTTTTCCACACATAATGATTTTGATAATTTTTTTTGTAGATTACACGCACTTAATGATGGAAGGAATTAGTGTTGCAACAAAAAGAAACCTTGCGCTACAACATCCAATTTTGAAATTACTAGATCCACATTTTTTGTATCTTATGGCTATAAATAGGTATTCTTTCAAATGTCTATATTTCATGTTTAGTAATGTCAAGGCTTGCGTTTAACTTTGATAATTATATTAAAAGAGACTAGTACTGTTGATGAATTTTACACACAAAAAGTGAATATTAATTCCATATTGACGCCTTGAAATGAAAAATTTTCAAGGAAAAAACAAGGGTAACTGCCTGGTTGTGTAAGCACGTGATATCATGATATGAAATGATTTGTTAAACTTTGTAATTTTGAAACAGTCCTAAACAAGAGATTTGTCCTGAAACATATCTGCAATCGATTTTTTTTATTCTTCAGTCTTGCACTTGTCGCGTTGATAAACCCTGATGGAATCATAGATAAAAATTCAAATGCAGGAATCAAAGGCCATTTTCATATAATGAGAAAGAGGTGAGATGATTAGATCATGTAGATATTAACGACTGTTTTTGAATGTTAACAAGCCAGTTTTATGTCGACTATTCTGGATGAGTATATGAAACATTATAATATGACTTTCTTCAAACGCTTTGAGTACACACTCCTGATAAAATACAAATATAAAGTATGTCAGCTAATTGGCAACGTCATGATTTGTTTGGGCTATTCCATCTATACTCCTACGTTGTATGCTTTTATAAATGATATACCAGAAGTCAAATGGTGTAAATGGCGTCATTTAACGTTCGATAATAAATGTGACGTAAGAACATAAGCATTGATGGGAAAATGCACGAATGTGATATTCGTCAAAACATGGAAATTTAAACAAACGATGTAACAAATATTTTGAAAGCTGATTTTCATTTTATTTAAATAAAAGTAAGATTTATTAAATTTGTTAAGTAATCAAGTAAGTAAATACATGCAATCGGTATATTTCTAAAATATTTATTTGAGGTCTGCATACACAAATACTTGTTTTAAGCGATAAACACCCATCCTGCGGCAATTGATAATGCCATTTTATGTAACACATCCCAATTCTTTCAACACCATGTAATTGCCTTCACCTATAGCGTTTCGATGAAAAAAAATTACTGTTATTCTCCTATTAGAAGAGAAACAATTCATACCCACTTGAAATTATATTGATTTTATCACGGGTATCGCCCTTGGTAAAATATTTGACATAAAGGTTCAACCCGTGGTAAAAACAATTTAAACGCAAGCCTCATGAATTATTTCTGAACTAATAAAACGCCTGCAGTATTTCTAAAGTATGTGCTCGAAAAAAATTTAAAACTCGCTTTCGATATGGAAACTACATGGGAACAATCAATCGTCAAGTTAACTTGCAAAAAAGGTCAACATGAACTAACCGTAACTTAAACACGTTCGTAATCTGAATGTCAACCATTAGCTTAATAACAACAGTCACAGCAAATATGCACAGACACATTCTATTTAGCACATTGTCCAAAAATCGTTGAAGTGCTAAAATACCAACCCAGAAAATTTCATTTTGGTAATTTGTTGTTGAAACAAGAGTGTTTTTTTAAATGACGAGAAGAAACACTTGATCTTTCAATTAAACATTAAAATAGTTTTGTAGAATGTATAGATATTCAAATTTTTACATGCAAAATAGTAATGATTTGGATTAAAGAAATTATGAGTCAAATAATTTCCAACCAATTTTACAGTTCGTTCTTATGTTGTGCTGTAAATCACTCGGGCTAGGGGAAACATTCGATATGTGCCTGTCCAAAGTCAGGAGCCTGTGATTTAAATTTTTATCACAGGCTGCTGTCTGTCATATTTGTTTTCGTTTGTTGGTTTGCAATAAATCAGGTCGTTGGTTTTTCGTTTGAATATTGTTTCACATTATGGCATGCCGGATCCTTTTATGACTGACTAAATAACATTAACAGTACCAATTTTTCTACGGTATTGGTTTTGCTAACCTTTGAAGACGTATCTAATCCGCTCAGTGGACTCAGTAGGCTAGTTTCCTCGTTAAAAATCATACCACATCTCAATATTTTATATAGATTCTAAAATAAATCTCTCATTACTGAAAAGCAAAATCTGCCAATTTGTTTATATGAATTTCATTTCTTTATTGTGTGATGTGCAAAATTTATTATACTATTTGATTTTAAAGGGTATCTTTGAACATTTTAGTATGTCATTCTGGAAATTGGATTTACATGGAACCCTTCCAGAGGATTTGAAGAACCGAGGGGTATGTTGATTATTTCTTACAACCTAATGTAAAATTATGTTTAGCAAATGTTGAATTGTAAACTAAGGGTACTATACATTTAGTCATAGATTGCCTTTGTCGTTTCTGGCACTAATCTCGGATTTTTCGTGTTTTAACGCTGTCCAACTTCTGATGACTCCTACAGAGACGAAATACGCATATGACGTACCAAATTATGATTTTGATAGTTTTGATGAGGTTAAGCAACTTCTTGGTCGAAACAACTGCTATTGAACATTTTGTTATTGAGGGTATCATCAGCCCAGTAGTCATCTCTTTTGTGTTGATTTGAAATGTCATTGCTATGTTTATCTTCTTTAAATATTGAATTATTAAAACCACGCAACAGTTTTTCAACCCCCAAACATAGATGGCATTAGCCGTTTTTGGCACTTTTTTCGGAATGTTCGGGTTTAAATGTTCAACGTCTGACGAGTCTTGTGTAGGCGAAACGATCATCTGGTTTAATATTTTTGATGAAATCAGTGTATGTGAACGTTTCGTTCCCGATGGGTTCGCATGAATCGTAGTATTTTATTGTTTGTTGATTTAAGATATCATTTATACGTTTATTTTCTATGAATCAGTTTTCTACCCAGAGGATAAATTGCCTTAGACGTATTTGGCACTACTTTTTGGAATTTGGGTTTCAATTTGTATTTGATTTGTCCTTCCAACTGTGATGATTCGAGAGTCAATGATGAGTCTTGTGGATGTAACGCGCGTATTTTTTGTAAATTTACTGTAACAAACTGTTAAATTTTTCAAAACAATAATATCTTTTCAACTCAGGCATAATTTCCTCAGGCGTTCCTGGCATTATATTTTAGCATTTGTGTGTCTCAATTGCTTTTCAACTTAGTATGTTATTTGGACTTCAAACTGTGTTGATTCGAGCTTCACTGATGAGTCTCGTGGATGAAACGCGCGTATGGTGTACCAAGTCATAAGTCCGATATCTTTGATTAGGTTTTACAACCACTGGGTCGATGCAAACACTTACGTTTCATTATTGAGAGTATCCCAGTAGTTTGCGTTAACTTGTAATATGTTCATTTTCTGTAAATTTACTGTAACAAACTATTAAATTTTTCAAAACAACAATATCTTTTCTACTCAGGCATAATTTCCTAAGGCGTTCCTGGCATTATATTTTAGCATTTTTGTGTCTCAACTTAGTATGTTATTTGGCCTTCAAACTGTTTTGATTCAAACGCCTCTAATGAGTTTCATGTAGACAAAGCGCGCGTTTTTCCTACCAAATTATAAGCCTGGAATAATTTTTGATCAGTTTATACCACAGTTTATAACTAACTTAAACCCATCATGTAATTATACTGCTGTTTAACATTCGTTTAAATTATCTATTTGCCTCTTATATGAATCTGGTGATGTGAAACTTGACGTTTATCGTATATTTCCTTTAATATTTCTAGGACGGTATACATATGTATAATATGATAAAGGTAAAGCAAATGCTTCATATACTCGTAGTAGGTTCTTGTATAATCAATTGAAGTCTGCTTTATGTGTTGCAAATCAAGACCACGTCCTTGAAAATTCGAAATAATTAGAGAAATTCTACATGTACATGTTAGGACCTTAATCGAATCGGGTGAAAGTCGAACATTTCATGTTTCACATAACATGTTCTCATGAAGTCATTCCTGACTAAGGCCTGGTATACCCTTCAATTTACATATTTCTTGACAGTTCTTCTTATCCAAGGTTCTAATTAGAGCTTGTTTGTTTCCACCAACAGTCAGGTTAGCCAACAATATAAATCACGTGTTTTTGGTAAATAGAATATAACAGATGCACGTTTCATATTACAATGTATATATGGATGTTTCGTATAACAGGTGCTAGATATGACAGTACAGGAAAGCACTGTATAAGAAGAAGATAGTACTGATCATATAAATGAATATTTTATTTTACAGGTATTTGACCAGTCTGTACTGACCGGAGCCTATCATATGAGAGATGATGCCCTTTTGTTGTATGACGCCATCAAAACTTATGTGGAGAAATATGTACTGCTGTACTATTGTAAGTTAATTATATATGTTAATTGTGTTAACCCATACAGTAAACATGCATAGCATCACAAGTAAGAGAATTACCAGTAGTTGAGTCTCTTAATGTATTTGGCAATTTAAGAATGTTTGTTGATGACTGAATTAAATGATAACCATGATAACCTAATTATAGAATTAAGACAATTGTAAGCTTGACACAATAAATGAGCAGGTAAATTAATCAAAAAAAAAAAAAAATCAGCTTATATATATATATTCTACCTCTGCATCGAGTATTTCAACTTAAATTGTTAAGTGTGTGAATATATCGTATTGCATGAGATACGATGAGGGAATCTGTTTATAAGATGTTAATAAACAACATCTAGGTAAACTTTCCTTTTCAATAAACTACAAAAGGATCGTATTATTTTATAAACGTGATCAGGTATACTGTCCTTTCAAATGATGTAACAATAGAAAAATGAGAAATACATTTGACGTCATAATTGACTTTTGACCAATGAAGAACTGAGATCCAAAAGATAATCAATCGATTTGAAAAATATAAATCGCCTATGAATAAGAGAAAAATGTTTAGTGTGATTCAGTAAAAGTTTATCTTGAGTTTTTGGCAATTTGATAGAATATGGAGAGTTGTAATGATTAAAACGGCCTTAATACCAGTAAACAATATGTGACTGATGTGAGGATGAATTCATATAAATCAATTATGTATCTACCGGCATTGAAGTCTGTAATAAGGTCTTGAACATTGATATGCTTTCATTCAACTGTTAACGTTGCCTCATATCTTCTATTAATCATATATCATTTTTATCTTATCTTAATAATCAGTTATAGATAATGCATATTTTCAGGTTTTTCTTGTCGTAGAACACACCGAGGGGTGTCAGGATTGATCAAATGAAAGACCGACCGTAGGGAGGTCTTTCTTTGGGCAATCCTGACACCCCGAGGTGTGTTCTACGACAAGAAAAACCTTAAAATATGCATTATCTGACTAATATACCGTCAAAAAAATATTGTTTTTTATAAAGATTTGCAAAATTTAGCATCCTGTTTTACCGACCACACTAAAGTGGGATATTCCTTTCTATTGAGTTCAGGTTTTAATACGCCCTACGGCTCATTTAGAATGTGAAATAAAACTCACTAAATAATCTAGATATAAACCTTAGAAACTATTATCCATACACAATAAAAATATTACTGTAACTGCATGAGGTAAGACACAAATGAATTGTTACCATCTGATAACGGTGTAAAATACAAGACACTTTGTAAGTAATGTATTGTACCAACTTAGTTTATGGAAAGGGGGAGGTGCTATGTTTTTTTTTGTCTATTTGTAATGACATTTTATCGCGGAAAAGTGATTATTTTTTCAACCATTTTGAATTGAATCGAATGAAATATTCAGAATGATTTTCTTTTGAATAGCAATACATTTTTTTAACAGATAATCAGGATATAATTATATACCCTCCCCCCACCCGACCTCATTGTGAGGTACGTGAATGTTATTCAATAGAATATAAGAATATTTTATTAGTTAATCATTTGATAGAGTAAAAGGTATACATAAATGTAAAAAGTTAAGAACTGACATGAAGGGGGCACGAAATCGTGATACATGTACATGTTACACGAAAACGAATATCAATACATGTAGGTCACAGTATGATTTCCTATTTAGTGTGTATCGTCCTGAACATGCATGAAATATTTGCCACTGGACGTTAAGTAACCATCAATCAATCAACCTATTCAGTGTGAATCAATAAGATTTTCAAAATCTTACACACAAATATGTTAAATCTGGCTTTATTTTAAAGTGTTAGGAAAGTTTTACATTAAAATTCATCTCGCATATATGATAATGTCTCTGTATTGTAGCGATAAAATTATTAACAAAACTTCACATTATTTGTTTCTAAAATTAAAATTCGGGCAATGACGATTTTTTTTACACCTACCATAGATTGAACTTTAAAAAATAAATTCCCAAATAGGCAACTGAAACTATCTGACGAATATAATTTTGAAGTAAATTATAGTTTGCATTTTTATCAAGGAAAATAATGACCTCACACAGGTCATTATTTTATGCCTTGGAGCATATTTCATTGAAACATGGTATCGTCCGGGTTGATTCTTCGAAAGAATGACCTATCGTTCTGAAAGAAAATATCTCCATATAGGTATATAATGGTTGCTTATATACCGCTCAAACTATGTGATATCGGAAATATTTTTGATTTTCAGTCAGAACTCAACCAACATACGTAATAATTATGTCTTTTCGAATTGTTTTAAAATGTTGGAGAGTTTTAAAGTTTAAAGTTTGCTTCATATGTGTACGAATGTATGACACAAAATAAGGAATTGTGTTTATTGGTCATAACATTTTATGTACAGCCACAGACAGTTCATTGACTGCAGATTATGAGTTGCAGAGTTGGGGAGCAGAACTTGTAAAGTCAAGAGATGATGGCGGAGTAGGAATTCTGGTTTGTAGATAACAAATAGAAAACATGATTTTGAACACAATATTCCTATACTTTATAAATCGTGTTCCCCATTCAAATAGTGTCTTTAATTCGTCAAACAAAGCAGAGTATTGAGTTGGTGGTGATTTAAACATTCAAATTATTTGAACCAAAACAAAACACACAAAGATAGATGTGTTATAAATATGAATCTTGTAGAAGCTTGTTTATTTATTAGTATATTTTTAAGTTTACGGAAAACACGTTGGTTTACGATATTAATACATGAGCAAGTTTCTGCATGTGCAAATAATAGATCAGAAAGTGAAAATGTGTTAATAACATTTATCTTCTTCCAGTGTGCTTTTCTAGATCTGATATAAAATGTATATTACACAATTATGTCATTTCATTTTGAGTTGTTGTTGTATTGCAGGGAGTCCCAGGTAACGGTAATTTTAAAACAACAAATCAACTTGTTTTAACATTGACAGCCATTATCTACACGTGTAGTGCTGGTCATGCTGCAGCCAACTTCCAACAGTACGATGAATATGGTGCTCCATTCAATTACCCATACTATCTGTCTGGAGTTCCTCCTAAAGACAAGGTTTGTACATTTTATGCTGACTGAGGTAGTTACACCTTTCAAATTACTTTTACTGTGAAGAATAAGTAGACACATTTGTTATTTTTGATAAACGTTTAAAATCTGAAATTTGTTTTATTATACTATGATGTATTGCTGTATTTGTATATGATATTATGATCCTGAATCATGTACATATAAAAATAAGAAGAGGGACGAAGAATACCGAAGTGACATTAAAAGTCGAAAATAAACTGACAACGCCATGGCGAAGATATGGTATAATTGCCAATGAGACAACTCTCCACCAGAGACCATTACTGAGCTAATTTAATTGTCAATTATTCTATGGTTAAATAAAATAATATATGGTATAAATGTCCATAACACAACACAAAAAAGGACATCCGTATCTTTAGTTTTTTTTTCAATGATAGAGTAAAGTAATGTAAAAGAGAGGCAAAATTTATCAAAGGGACATTCAAAATAATAAGTCAAAAATAACCTGACATCACATGACAAAACAAAAACGAAAAAGACAAAAAGACAAACAACAGTATACAAAACATACAAATGATAACTAAATACTGAGCAGCACAACTATCAAAAACCGTTGGTAATCTCAGGTGCTCCGGAATGTAAGTTTCAAAACAAAAAAAAAGAAGAATTAAAAACCAATTGTTCAAAGAACAATTGAAGGTCTTTCCACATCAATTTTCTAAATAATTGATGAGAAGCTAATTCTGGTTTACTCAAAGCTACTATTGGCGTCCAATCATAGGATTCTTCATACTGATTCAATAAAAATATGGTTTCTATAAATTTTTGCCTGAAATAAGGGAAATAATTGTCAACTTCCGGTTTAGAAAATGTCACTTCTGGTCTCATATGATAGCTTTATTTACACTGATTCCAAAAATATATGGTTTATATATACTTTTGCCTGTAAAAAGGGAGATAATTGGCTACTTCCGGTTTAAAAAATGTCACTTCCGGTCTCAAATGATAGATTTATTTACTCTGATTCCAAAAAAATATGGTTTATATATACTTTTGCCTGTAAAAAGGGAGATAATTGGCCACTTCCGGTTAAGAAAATGTCACTTTCGGTCTCATATGATAGCTTTATTTACACTGATTCCAAAAATATATGGTTAATATATACTTATGCCTGTAATAAGGGAGATAATATGCTATTTCCGGTTTATAAAATATCACTTCCGGTCTCAAATGATAGATTAATGTATGACCATTCAAAAAATATATGGTTTCTATGTACTTCTACATGAAATAAGTGCAAAAATGACCACTTCCGGTTCACTCAAGGTCACTTCCGGTTGACATTTAACAAGGTCATATGTCATCCAACATTTTGCAAAAGATCTTATGGCTTTATCATGTACCAATATGAAGTAATAATCAATTTACCTTAAAATAAAACATTTCAGGGGCAATAACTCCAATAAGATGTCGCTGGATTGTCTCAGACCAAATGTATCATATCTTCATCACAATATAACAAACATTTTGCACTTGTTCTTTAATATATAACATTAAAAATATCGGAGAAAATGCAAAAACAAGCAAAAGACAAAATTCAGAACATGACCTTGACCTTTGACCTTGACCTCATTTTCGAAGTTAGGATCCAAGGACCTCAAATAAAAAGACTATAGGTTTATACGGCTTACAGTTTATGAGTAAAACGACAAATTTATTTCATAAAGGTAGATAACTCCTATAAAATTTCATCGAATCGCTTCGATCCAAATTAGCCAAAAATTCTTGAGGATGTAACGAACAATTTAGAAAAAGAATTTTGTCGATATCTTTTTTTGTTACAAAGGAGATGCACACACTTGATAAACAGTGAATAGGGAGATAACTCTTACAAAGATAATTGTTCGGCTTAGCAGGGTGAAATTTAAAAGCGCATAAACTATACGATACAATATGAGAAATATCTAAGCGACATATTGCGAAATAAACATTTATCGCAAGAACAAAATTTGGCGGAAAAAAAAAAATAATAATAATCAGAACAAATACAATAGGTCTTTCCACCGAAAAGTGGAAAGACCTAATAATCAGAACAAATACAATAGGTCTTTCCACAGAAAAGTGGAAAGACCTAATAATAATAATAATAATCAGAACAAATACAATAGGTCTTTCCACCGAAAAGTGGAAAGACCTAATAATCCCTCCAAATATTTTAAATATGCTTGTCCCAAGATAGGCTTATGATTTCTAATTGTCTATGTTTATATAGGTGGTGTGTTTGTCATTTAAGAATCCATAATTGATGACAGAACTTTGGTTATTTTCTATTCCATCTGGACTTTACTTTAAAATTGCATAATTGCTCATTTTAGTTGGCAAAAGATGAGTATACATTTTTTCATTCCACATGTGTCTCGTAGCTGTAATAACAACAACTTTTTGTATAAGGTCTTATTTAAAAAAAATACAGGTGTGCCCTTCAGCATTTCAAACATCGGGTTCAGATTTTAAGTATGAATTATTCTAAATACTAAGGATTTTCTTATCCCAGACATATAACCTCAGTCGTATTTGGCACAACCTTTTGGAGCTTTTGGTCCTCAATGCTCTTCAACTTTGTACTTGTTTTGGCTTTCGAACTTTTTTGATCTGAGCGTCACTGGTTAGTCTTGTGTGGACGAAACGCGCGTCTTGCGTATTAAATTTTAAACCTGGTACCTTTTGTTAGCTATTATTCGTATGTTTCTCTGTCCTATATGTTCTCCCATTTATTTGTATTGTAGTCCTGTCATGTAATGTTGTCATTGTGATGTTATATTTAACATTGCCATAAAAGCGGGAGGTTTGGCTAGCCACAAAACCAGGTTCAACCCACCATTCATTTCTTAAAAATGTCCTGTACCAAGTCAGGAAAATGGCAATTGTTATCGTATAGTTTGTTTCTGTGTGTGTTGCATTGTCGTTTGTTGTTTGTTCACTTCAGTGTTTCTGTTGTTTCGTTGTCCAAATGTACTATACTGTATTGTTTATTTGCGTAATTCTCTGTCCGTAATGTTGTACTGTATTCATGTCATGTAATGGTGGCATTTTAGTGTTATATTTAACATTGCTATAAAGTGCGAGGTTTGGCTAGCCACAAAACCAGGTTCAACCCACCAATTTTTTTCTTAAGATGGCCATTGTTATATTATAGTTCGTTTCTGTGTGTGTTACATTTTAATGTTGTGTTTCTGTTGTGTCGTAGTTCTCCTCTTATATTTGATGTGTTTCTCTCAGTTTTAGTTTGTAACCCGGATTTGTTTTTTTCTCAATCGATTTATGAATTTCGAACAGCGGTATACTACTGTTGCCTTTATTTATTCATTTTAAATGATGGCAAATGCATTTCCAAAAGGTGGCATTCGTAGATGAATTTATATTGATAACTTAATTTTGTATCGACATTAAATTATGTCGAAGACCCAATATTGATCCTAAATTAATATTTTTATTATTCAAAGAAACATATAAAGAAACTTCAGAAATAAGACGGGTTAATTAAATATCAAATAACAAATAAGACCTCATTGAAGACATACAGTAACCTGTAGCTTATACATCCTTGTCTGTTGATTTTTGACGGCTAGCTATCTCACTGACAATCATACCATATCTTCGTAAATTCATGTCTGTAATCATTCACCATACAATATAACAACCAACGGGTATAGGTTCGTAATGTCAATTTCAGATCTGGTATTAAAGAGTAAGTTTCAGCTTTAGTTTGCATTCTTTCTTCTTTTTACTTGCAAGAACAACATGACGGGTACAACATGTGGCACAGCAACTAAGTGTACACCAGGTTTTAAAATTGGGTTTATGCTCCTCAGTCTTTGATTTTCAATAAAGGGTATTGTGGACTTGTTTGTCTATTCGTCGTTTTTCATTTATTTTTGTAATAGCGTTGTCAGTATTTATACGACGTACGAGTTTTAATTGTCCCCTTGGTATCATGCGACTGTGGTATTTCAGTGAACCTGACATTTATAACACGCTGAAATTAGGCCAGCCTAATATCTTTTAATTTTCATTATTGACATCGATTGACTACTTAAAACCTAAACCCTAAAACAAATGCGACGACTGCGTTTTCCCATTTTTTATAGTAGTATTCCTTCTGCCTTCTCATACGTTACTCATCGAATTAGTATCTCCATTTATGGAGAGTTGTCTCATTGGCACTCATACCGCATCTTTTTATATCTATTATGGATATATGGATACAAAGAATTATGTAGCAAACACTTCTCTAGTGGAGTAATGAGGTAAACAGGTTATGTATTATTCACTATCTCTTATTACCTTTGTCATTATTGTAAACCACATATAAATCAAATATATCCAATTGTATGTTTTTTAAAGAGTCCAGTCACTATAGCAACCATCCTAAAGACCATTCCAAACAGAGACGTACTTCTACAGATGATGATAGTCACAAAAGTTCTTAGTGAGAAAGCAACAAAAAGCCTTGGTGATTTTGAGAAACAGTTCATTGTGGATCCAAAAGCAGTAAAAGTTGTTGAAGAGTAAGTCTCAACATTCATTTACTCTTGTTCTTTTAATCCTGAAACGAACAGAAATAAGTCTTTTCTTCAATGAAAGGCATATTACATACGATATATTTACCTAAAGGATTTACAATAATTGAAACATATCTGTCGTCATCTATGAAAAAGATACTCCATAGCGGTCAACCATCTCATGACTGAGTCCGTAAAATTTTCGACGGTTGATTTTAACTTCAAAAATTGGAATTCTTGGTTTAAAATCTTTCCTGTAAGCAGCAACTCATATCAAGGAAATGCAAGCTCTGGAATATCTATGAAATGTATGAAAATATATTCTCACCCGACCCTTTTTGTCTATTGTAAGTCAAGATATGAGGCCGATTTAAATGTATCTGTTCTATCCTCCATTACAAGTTCGATGGGATAGACGCGTTCAACATAGTCACCAACCTTTTATTATCTAGTGACAGAACACCTTCTATATAGCGGAGCGTGTATGGTAACTGTGAAATTTCTTTTATTTCTTTTAAAGTTTCATATGAATCTAAGGAAGCACCTGTCATTAGATTTAGAAAAATAACTACATTAAATGTATATGAGCAATATATAAAGGTCAAATGAGTATAAACGTTCCCCTCTCAATTATAATTTTTTTAATCAATAGTAAAAGTTTAATTATTCTAGGCTGAAAAGTATCAATTCCCTTTTTTAAAACTCTATTTAACAAGAGAGACATAAAATTGAGAATGGAAATGGGGAATATGTCAAAGAGACAACAACCTGGCCAAAGAGCAGATAACAGCCAAAAGCCACCAAAGGGTCTTCAACTCAGCGAGAATATCCCGCACCCGGAGGTTGTCTTCAGCTGGCCCTTAAATAAAAATGTGTACTAGTTCAGTGAAAATGGACGTCATACTAAACTCCAAAACATATAAATGAACTAAAATTAAAAAAACATACAAGACTAACAAAGGCCAGAGGCTCCAGACTTGGGAAAGCCGCCAAAATGCGGCGGGGTTAAACATGTTTTGCGAGTTTTCAACCTTCCCCTATACCTCTAGCCAATGTAGAATATAGAAACACATAGCTATTTTGTATTTCAATAGATATTTAGTATTCTATAAGGCTCATTGGAACTGGATCAAAACCAACCAGCAGTTCAAACCTAAACTGACTGGTAATGTTAGGGCATTTACAATATTTTTCAACTGAAAAGAAATAAACAACTTTAGATGCCCGTAGGTCACAATTGCCCACTCCCACTATTGAATTGCACAATCTGGGTATGAAAACCCATATAAAGAAAAAGGTTCCCATCATACGGAACATGTGTAATACTTTTTATGTTGATGTGACCACAACTTAAAAGGAAACTACATTTATAAAACGTTTTTAACCTGATAATGTACGTACGAATGAACAGATTAACCAACGGACGGAAGAACGGACGGACGCATAAACCGTAAAATATCATGTCCCAACACGTGATACCATAGATGTGATTGTTTTGAAAAGAAAACTAAAGTGCAAGTTGATTTATGCATTCTTTTTGTGGCCCCTGTGATGCATAAGTACCTTTCTGAAAAAAGGCTGCTATGGATTCGTTTACATAATGGAAGCACAAAATGCGCACTACAGATAACGATCAACATCAAAGTGGTGAGTCTAATATAGTCCCTTGTGCATGCATCAACTTGCAAAAAAAATATAAGGCTAGGTGAAAATAAAACGGAATTGTTTGATAGGATAAGGGCAACAATATTTATCAATTTGAGCCAATTATGTAACATGTGGTTCGGAATATTGCGCAACACAAAGGAACGTCATATTATGATACACAAATTTCCTCGACGTCAGAAATCAATTTAAAAGATTTTTTTCAATAACTTAGAAACAGTTGTAAAATAATAAAAAGAACCCTAAGATCTAGAGTATAGGCTAAAACATTGTTTTTTCACTTAATAAATAATAGTTAACAAATGGACAATTGATATATTACTGATTCTGGTATTTGCAATGTAAAAGAATAGGATAAGCCTATTGTACGGCCCAATCCCGTCTTTGGTATCAAATAGTCATACATTTTAACACCAATGACATGTTTGAATACCCTTTCACACTATGGGCATATTTATTATATTGTTAACTTTTCATTGTAGGTTTCGACAGACATTACGACAAGTTGGAAAAACAATTGAGTCAAGAAACAAAAAGAGGGAATATCCATATGATTGGCTTCTTCCAAAGGCAATACCTAATGCCATAAGCATTTAAACACTTATATGTTTACTATATTTACAGACAATATAACTTTTTCACACGAAGATTGTCTTGCACATTTAACAGATTTTAATGTATTGGATTTGAAACGAATATTTTGTTTGAGATAGCTTTTATGATATAATAGTGTTTTGTACATGAATTTCAAAGAAATTTCCGCCAATGAGATCATCACCAAAGAATCAAGCGTTTGAGTTACTCTTTACCCTAAAGTGTGATATTTTTGCCTAGGGTGCCCAACCGCAAGAGATCTTCATTCTTTGATACGATATGATTTATCTTTGATTAACTTGTACAGTATACGTATGTTTTATGTCTAATAAATCCGTCCAGTATTACTGACAAAATCAAATTTTGAAATTATTTTATTAGGTGTTCATCTGTGTTGTTCTTATTTGCAATATTAAGAGGGCCGAGTTGTTATGGATTTCAGATAGTCCCGACACATGTCGGCGAACACGTTGGTGGTTGTCTTTTGTAATAAATTAGAGGCAACAATACTTTACCGATGTTCAAATTTCTTAAATCTTTAAGAAACATTGCTGTACAAATGAAGGTGTAACACAAACTTGGGGAAGCTCATTAACTCCAAAAAGGACTAGTACGCGGGAATCGCAAACGAATCTGCTCTTGATATGCATGTAACACACGCCATGCATATCCACACTCAGTCAAAATGTCACAATCAAGAAAAAAGACACAATCCGACGTCTCCTGTAGTATCTACGACCACCAAAACATGTCGCTAGTGAGTTGAAACAGAGACATTGTATCTGTATTAAAGTTCGTAATATAAAATAAATGGTTAACATAATTAACGAAATTTCTAGTCCCTCGGCCGTCAAGATAATCACTAAATGCATCTTCTTTTGTAACAGAATGTTGATCTCTGAAGGTTATCTCCTGTATACAAAAGGTGTCAAATCTTACCTTGATAGTACGTTATATTGTTTTATTCTCAGAGCAGAAGATTGCACCTTTGCTTAAATACTACAGTTTTTGCTTGGCTGCAAAGGGCAAATAACTCTTTTAAGACGTTATTTGTTTTTGGTAATGGTCGAATTCCGGGTAGTAATTTTTGTATCAGAACTAGTTGACTTATCGCTGTCTGTCAGGAAGAGCATACACTTATCATGATTATTACAATGATTAATTGTCAAATTAAAAGGGTAATGATTATAGTCAATGATAATGTATTAAGACATTCATGAATCACCGAGATAAAGTTGGCCTAAGTTTGTATTTACAATGTTTGTAAAGTTATCATCGTTTAACAGCTCCTATCGTGATTTGAAATATTTGTAAGCTATTTTTTCATCGGGTAACAATAAAACAATGATAATCCAAGTACATTCAATCTTGATAAATATACAAAACTGTTAATTTCATAACAATGACTTAAATAAAAATAGATAATACATATAGGTGATAGGTACTTACATGTAGTTATGTCTTTTCTAAAGACCTATTCTAGAATTTTCAAAAATAATCTTTAAACTTTGCAATACTGTCAAAACTTTGTGTATCTGCACTTTACGCCAATGATTTATGCTCATTTGAAAGGTTGACTACATCTCTCTATTATACAGTGCTTTAACCGCAAAAATTGAACCACATTGACTCAAACAACAGCTACATGTATACCGAAGAAGATTTTTTTATTGACTACATTACAATTTTTAAGTTGCATTTTTGTTATTTTCTTATGAGCAAAAATTGTTCTTATGTACATGGAGACCAATAGCTGGTATCATAATCGCTTCTTTTTGTGTACGATTTTTCTTACATTGAAGCCTGCCCTTCAGCATTAGAAATAACGGGTTCAAGTTTTTTTTATGAATGATTAGAAATGCATTTTCAAATTGTGGCATTTGCAGATGAAAATAAATCGGTAATTTTATTTTGACTGGGCATATACATGTGACTACTGTCAGTCGAAGACCCAATGTTGACCCTAGGATTAATAATATTATTATTAGTAGTAGTAGCAGTAGTATTATAATGATTCAAATAGATAGCTGTGGAAATAAAGATAGTTTATTACATACCAATTACATAAACGTTGGACATGTTATATTGAAATATTTTCTAATTTCTTTTGTTGTCATTTAGGATATCGATTACCGATGTATTAACACGCTAATTATAGAATTTGTCATAATCACTAAACTAAGTTGTTATAATTGAAAAGCTTTATTCATTTCATTTGATGAGATATGTTTTTAATGTTCAATTAATGAGTACATTAAGCTCTATCGATTTAGAATTAGCTCAATTTTGAAGACTTACAATATCCTGTAGGTTTACATCCTTTTCCATTGGTTTTGATGGGTAGTTGTCCAGTTGACCCAAAAATACTTTAAACTATTATGTTAGTTACAAAAGTTCTTAGTGAGAAAACAACACAAAGTCTTGGTGATTTTAAGAAACAGTTTGCTGTGGATCTACAAGCAGTAGAAATTGCTGAAGATTGAGTCTTAACATTCATTTACTATAGTTTTGTTTTTAATCAGGAACCAAACAGAAAACAAGAACACTAATGAAAGGCATATTACATACAAAACTTTCTTCGCCCTTTTCTTTGGAGCATCTAGTTAATGTTTGTATAAATCGTAGTAGGCAACTGCCTTAGATTTAGAAAAAATATGATTTCAGCAATATATAAATAAATTCGGTCTGAGTTTAAATTAGAGATTAAACATTCCCAAATCATAAATCTTTAATCAATATCATTGTTTTAATTTCTTAAGGTCACGTAGCATCTTCCCTATTTCGGGGACTAGACCTTGTTATTTTGTATTTTAAAAGGCTTAATGGAACTCGAACAAAACCAATTGGCTGTTTAAACATAAACTGCCTGGTAGTGTACGGTTATCTTTCATATTACACAGCTGTAAATAAAACATAAATTTAAATATCCGTAGGGTACAATAACGCCGCTTGGACTAGATTGTAATTCAACACAATCATCAATGTGAGCCTTCAATGAAATAGAGGGTCTGGATAATACGCAGCACGATGGAATGTCAAATCATGATACATAAATGTTCAAAATATCACAATTTAATTTCAAAAGAGTCATTTAGTTCTTACCCTCAAACAATTGAAGGGTAAAAAAACACAATAGGATCTATAGTTACTAAGGTAAAGCATTATTGTTTTTTTTCTATTAAAGTGCAAACTTAATAAATTTCAGTGAAAAATAATACAATTGGTATATTTTTTATGCAGGCATTTGCCATGAAAACAAATAAGATTAATGAATTTTACGGTCCCATTCAGTCTTTTAGAACCTACTATTCATTCACTTTACCACAATAATATGTTTAAATGCATTTTCACACTATGGGCATGTTAATTTCATTGTTTATATTGGCGTTGTAGTTTGAGACAGACATTACAAGAAGTTGTCATAAAAATTGATTTAAGAAACAAAAAGAGGAATTATCCGTGTGCTTGGCTTCTTCCAAAGGCAATACCAAATGCTATAAGCATTTAAACACTCATCTGTCAATTATATTTAGACATTGTTGTTTCGTCATACAAAATTTTTCTGACAAAGATAAAAGCTTTCATGTATTGCTTGACTTCAAAAAATATTTTGTTTAAATGCAGTTTTAAGACTATATAATATTATAACTGAATATACATTTGTAATTTTGTTCATCACCAAAGAAACGAGCATTTGAGTTTCTCTTTACCCTGCAATGTGATATTTGGGTCTAGGATGTTCAACTGCATGAGAACTTCACTCTTAGATACGTTAATAATTATTGATTGTTTTTGATTAATTTGTATGTGTTTTTTAAGTATAATAAAACTGTCCAGTGTTACTGAGAAAATCTAATTTAAAAGTGTGTATTATGTATTCTTTGTTGTTTTTCTTGTTTGAAATACTACAATATCCGAGTTTATTTGGGTTGAGGTAGTCTCGACACATGTAGTGCCACATCTGTGGTTGTCCTTGGTTGTAAATTAGAGGTAATAGTAGTTAAATAATGTTAACCAACGGTCTAATCTATATAAAAAAACGAGAAACGAGAAACACTTAAGAACCACATCAACAAACATTTGCCATAGACTCTAAACACAATTTCGAACGTTGTACACACGCAGTAACTTATTGAAATGTTCAGAAAATAGTTATTTGTGTGTTCCCGTGCGACTTTTGCACTCTTGGGAAACAGTTTTTTACCTATGAGATTGTTATCAAGAGTTGCCTTCTGCTAACTATTGATTTAACTATTTCAGTTCCATGGAAAACCGAAACCTTTAAATTTTAAGGAAAATGCTAATTATAAAAGCATTAATCTTGCCTTTATCGACATTCTTGGGAAAGTTATCTTAAAGAATTAGAAACAAGCAGCTATAATATATATTTGGGATGGGAAAATAGAAAAAGTAAAGATAAATTTGATAAGAAGTGCATACGAAAATGGGAGTTAGCAAACGGTCAATTCTAAAAGTAATTCTTTTAAAGGCATCATGAGTATAAAGACGTGTTACTGGTAAACTTTTCAACTGGAAGTTTTTACCGTTTAAATATCTAAAGGTGTCTGATAATATTTTGTTTACATTCAACATGAATTCAAATGATATAAAACATTTAGAGTATTTCAAAGGCGTTGCAGATCGTTATAGATAAAGGCAACAGTAGTATACCGCTGTAGAGAAGTAATGAAGTACTTGATGTTGCAGTGTAAGGTAAACTAGCTTGGAAAATTTCAGATTGTTGAAAAGAAAATTATGTTAGAAGTACAGTACATATTATTAGAAATAAGATTATATGGAAAAATCGTTTAATTTAGACTTCATGTTTTTCAGATAAAATTTTATCTAAATCATTAGTATTCTTGCAATATAAGAAACTCTAAATATTAATTCGTTGTATAACTTTATTTTTGAATATCTAGCTGAAAATATTTAAAAAATTCAAATGAAAATTAAAAGTTATTGAAAAAAAAGCAACACGTTTAATAATTTCATGCGTCCGAAGCGCATATCTGGATTTACCTTCAAGAATGAAAAAGAACCGAAACAGTTGAAGAGCTATATAACAACAAAACCCTAAAAAATAGCCAAATCCATATAAGGTCAACTTTGCCTGAGGGAGTTGAAACCTTAGTTTATTCATATAGTATAATGTAAAAAGAATGAACAGTATAATAAAAGATACATATTTCGTTTCTACTTCCAAAATAATACACGATGGTCTTGTGTTATAGATACTAGGTGCTAAAGTTTTGTATCTTTCTATTTACTTTACAGTCTTCTCTTTATTTGTCTTTGTGCTATTTTTTTCCGTTTGGTCGTTAGACGCTTGACGTGTCTCGGTATTTATACATCAAGCTA